AGACAAGTTTTTGGCCACATGTCAAGGTTATCTATATGTCATGGCAGGTAGTTTATTGGATGTTTTAACAAAAGGAGGACATTCTGGAACCCTGCAGAAGTTGGAGATGTTATCACCTGAAGGTGAAGGCCAGACTAGGACACTCAACACAGCCAAAGAAATAGATTACAGAAATAGAACCAGCCCGAAGAGTGGACTCCAAGAATCAGCACTGGAAGCAGTAGCAAACTTTAGTGCTCCAGTTAACATTTTTTGACTGAAGAAGCTGGTGTTCCAGAGGAAACAATAAGAAAACCAAGGTACTCAGTGAGTTCCAGGGAGCCCAAAACAAGCACCTGAGCACCAGACCCACTCCCAACATGATCTGTCTCCCAGCCCTTCACCACCCTATTGTCCTTGTCCATGAATTATACATATAGCACACAAGTTCTTTGATCTCTTCCCACCCACCTCTGCTTTCCCTCTGAGATTCCACAGTCTAGAACAATTAGTTTTAATGTCGCAGACACTAGGCTCTGTTATGTAATAAAGCTGAACCTGGGCCTACGGGGGGAAAAAAAAAAGATTGTGAAAGATAAGGACAGGGTTAAGAAGCCATAGGAGCCTAAACCGGTTTGGCTCAATGGATAGTGCTTTGGCCTGCAGACTGAAAGGCCCCAGGTTAGATTCTGGTCAAGGGTATGTACCCTGGTTGTGGGCACATCCCCAGTAGGGAGTGTGCAAGAGGCAGCTGATCGATGTTTCTCTCTCATCGATGTTTCTAACTCTCTATCTCTCTCTCTTCCTCTCTGTAAAAAAAAAATCAATAAAATATATATTTAAAAAAAAAGAAGTGACAGGAGACTACAGAGAAATGATTACCTGCAACACATGAGCCTGAATTAGTTTCTTGAGCCATTATTGAAATATCAGCAACATTTGAATTAGGTTGGATAACATTGGATTGTTATTTCCTGATTTTGCTGATCATATTTGTTATTTGGGAAATACACATTCAAATATTTAAAGAATGGGGAATCAGGTCAATACACTCTCAAATGGTTCAGAAATATTTATGAGAGCTCTGTGTACTATTTCTGTCACTTTTGAATCTATTGAAATTACCTACACTAATAAAAGAGAAAAATGCTAATTGACCATACCTTTGCTACACCCACAGGCAATCAGGAGTGATATGTAAATTAACCCAGCAAAGATGGTGGGTAAATTTGCATATGCAGGTGGCAGAGGCAGAGGCCCTATGAGGCCAATGGAGTTGGAGACATGGGCAGGTATCGGTGGAAGGGGAGGTGGGGGAGAGGGAGAGGGCAGTGCCTGAAGCCACTGGTGGATCCAAGCTGAGATGGGGACCCGAGTAGGCGGTGATGCTGCCTGCCTAGGTCCAAGCCACCCTGCATGTGAGGGGCGAAGAGCCAGGGTTCAAGCCTCTCTGTGATTACGGGGCAAAGAGCCCAGGTCCAAGCCACCCTGAAATCACAGGGCGAAGAGCCTAGCTTCAAGCCACCCTGTGGTCACGGGGCAAAAAGGCCAAGCTGAACTGCCCTGCAATCCCAGGTGAAGAAGCCACTCTGCTGACCAACCTGCGCTATGGACCTGTTCCCCTCTAGCCTGCAGCCCGGGGAAGTCTCTCCTGAGTTAGGAGCACTAACCCAGGTCTATCCAGTGGCCTGGTCCTGACTGTGGGGATGAGTTCCTGCAGGCTGGGGTTTGATCCTTATGCATTAGGAGTTGGAGACCAGTGTCTTTGTTATTGCTGTGTGTCCAGGTTTTGATTGGACAAATGCCCGGTGGTCCAGGTGATCAGGTTAGCATAATCTTTTAGGAGGAAAATTCTGTCTGGGTTTCCTCAAATTCACTCAGCCCCTACTCACCCCTCTGTAAAGGCACAGAATCAGCTGCTTCATGAGTATAGCATCCCTTCCTATTTTAAAGGAAGCTGAGTTCCATGTGTAGTATGCTATATCCGAGGCACAGGACAAGGGAGGCCCTAAGTGTACTATGTTTTGCTATTTGAGTTATTCTTTATTGTTCAACATGATTTATTTCTGTACACCTGTTTTGTAATAAATTACTAGAATAATACATCTTGCTAAAAAATATTACTAGATCAAATGATCAGTTGACATTTGCTATTTTCTGTAAATGAACACAATCTCTGATAGGCTAAAGTGATAGGTATTACAGAAATATTCAGATATAGAGACCTACAGGCTTGATTACAAGTGAGGCTTACTCTCACAACCCAAAGTTATTGCTTGAAAAAAAGCAGGGAGCCAACTAGAAACTAAACCAAATATAAGCCCTTGAAGGGAAAAATGTAAATTGAATAAGCTTTGCCATTACAAGAGCAAGAAGAAAAAATTCAGATGCAAGGATGAAAACCACATTGCATCCACTCTAAATAACTGTTAAAGAAAAAGAATGGTATACTATGAAAATATTTAATACAGATGTAAAGACATTTGTTCAAAGAGGATTTCCTAGAGTAGGTGATATTTCAGTTAATTTTTTTAAATGTTAAGAGGTTAGCTAGATAAGAAAAAGGTCTAGGGGTCCCGAATTGCAGAGGGTGCAGGCAGAATTGGGGGAACCCCTGCTCTGTGCACGAGTTTCATGCACCGGGCCTCTAGTACCAAAATAAAAAGCTTCCAAAAGTAAATCAGATGTCACTCAAAATCTTCTAATAGAACAGTTGCCAACCTATTGGACCTCACAGACAACCAGTGGTCTGCGGACCATCAGTTGGCAACAGTTGCTCCAAACGTTTCCTTAAAGCAGAGTTGCCATCCTTTTGAACCTCATGGACCAGTGGTTGGTAACCGCTGTTCTAATAAAACATATCAAAGGTCCACATAAACTAAGTGAATGCTTATAGTCACTTCTTTCACTTCAAAATGAACACAAATGCCCATCCACTGGCAAAAGAAACTGCTGGTCCATACAAAAGGGATGAACCTCAAAAGCATTCTAGACAGGGCACAACTACAGTGATAGGAAGCTGGTCAGTGGTTATCTGGGGTTGGGGAAAGTTTGACTACACAGGGAGCTTTGAAGAGTGATGGAATTCCCTACATCTTATAATTACACAGCTGTACATGATTGCCAAAACTCCAATTTGAACACTAAAATGGGTGAATTTTATTGTATGTAAATAACCCAATTTAAAAAATCATCCAATAGTTCTCCCACTTCACAGAGTATAAACAAATCCTTAAAAGGCCTACAAAAACCCCTTCTCCAATTCCCCTGACTCTTCCTCACACCACTAATCACAACACACCTACCTCCTCATCCAGCCACCCAAGGAGGGCTAGTTTGTGAAATGTTTTCTGTTCTGGGACAAGTTAAGAACATCTACTGAGCATAAGCAGTTAATGTTGAATATAATGGAATCAGAGGTATGGAAGGGGAGTGAACTGACGATTCTTGGGGAAAAGGGGAGAGGGGGGCATGGGAAGAGACTGAACATAAACTGTGCACCTATGGATGAGGACAATGGGGAGTGGGGAAAGGGCAGAGGGTGGGGTGGGAACCTGGTGGAGGAGAGCAATGGGGGGGGGGGGAGGAACATTTGTAATAATATGAATAAAAACTTATTAAAAAAAAATGTAATTAGCAACTAGCATTGCTATACCATTAAAGAGCATGGTCCTTTTTCTAATAATTCACTGTAAAATTTTATAAATTACATAAACTTGACATCTAGGTTAAAGATACTATTCATGAGTCAGACTCTGAATGTGACAAAGTTTTAGGAAAAGGAATTATTTTCCTTTTTACTTCATATACATGGACAAAAGTGATATGGTAATCTACATAAATCTAAATGACTGCCCATAAATATACCATAAAAATTTCAAGTGGTAAGGAGTTTTGTTCAAGGAAATATTAAAACAGGAATATGAAAAAAATGATCAATAATATCACCTTAGCCTTGGCTGGTGTGGCTGTTGGTTTGGAGAGTCAGTTCCCAGTCAGAGCACATACCAAGGTTGCGGGTTCGATCCCTGGTTGGGGTATACAGGAGGTAACCGACTTGTTTCTCTCTAATATAGATCTCTCTCTCTCCCCTTCTCTCCTCATGTGAGGATTAAAAATAATTTTTTTAAAGTCACTGTAATATATTCTATCCATAAAAAAACTGTCCACTTCTTTAGATACCCATGGTTTTACTAGCAGGGGTCTGATCAATGGCCTTAGATATAAATCAAATCTAAAGAACTTAAGAGTTGAAAATATTTGAACATTGGTATTTAAGACTTACAAAAACATAGCAAGATTAGGATTGGCAGCCCTTTGTAAATCAGCTTATTTTTTTCAAGACTGTAGATTGCAAAATCTTTACCTTGAGATATTTCAATAGAGCTTCAATATTAACCACACAGGTGTTCCTTAGAACAGTGTTGCCTCAAGAGGATAAGAGCCCAAAATGTAGAGTTTACAGTGTTTTTTTGCTGTTTTCCTAGAAACAGGAAGTAGTTAGTCCTAAATGGCCTTTATTCAAACTGAAAAGATTTGTGAAATGCCTACTATTAGCAAAATACTATGCTCATTTATTTGAAGAATATGAAGATCAAATTTAGCTCCTGCCCAGTTCATATGCATACAAAATAACATTACGGAAAATCTAATCAAGGACTTGATCTAATTCTCCTTTGCTTTTATTAAAATGGTTTACTGTTTCTCATTAGCTGCTCCAAACCACTACCAGAAAAGCATCCTATTGCAGTTTTATATACCTTAACACGTGCTTTAGACTTAGCACAAGTACTTGACAATAGGACAGTGGACAAATAAATGAACTATTATGTATAAAACTTTATTGTACAAAATTAAGGCCTTCATATTTCATAGTTCACTAGTAGGGAATTTTTTAAAACCTACACAAAAATTTTACTTGCATTTCCTCCAGCCCCAACTATTAAAATGGCCTGACCAATTGTTATGAAAACAAACACTATAAATAACACCAAGTCCTTTAAAGACAAGTCTCCCAAATGTTATTTCTTGGCATAGGTGATCTTCATGGCATGAGATGGTGTGATCTTAAATCCTTGTAAAGCATCCCTGGCAGCTCCAGCCTGTCCATCATTTTCAAATTCAACAAATGCAATGTCATGCCTTCCAGGTACCAAACGTACTTCCTTGAAACCAGGGAACCTGTGAAGAAAAACAATTTATCTTATATATATGTAAATACATACATAAATGTTTATTCTGTGTTTAAACTTATTAAGCAACTTCCTGAAAAGTACTATTTCCTACCAACAATCCTGGGTAGGATAAAGATAATTAATAATAATATATTTAAAATATAATTAACACCAGAATTGTTAATTATATTGTTAAAGAATTGTTAAAGAATAATATAAGCTAATTATATTCTTGTCACTATATCAAAGCTTTGTTTTCAGTTTTACTCATCAATTAGAATTCGTAATTCAAACATCAGTGGTAATTCATGTCTTGATTTGCTAAATTTGAAAACTAATTTTAATTCATGGTTAATCCCAAACCAAATCAATGAACTTGTAAAAAATTACTGCTGTATGGTACACAAATGGATTCAACCCATGAAAGTGCTATTTGTCCTATCAGAAGGCTCTTGGAACACAGACTTTTTAATAATAAAACTTACTGATTAAACAGCATGGATAACATCATCTCATTAGTCTCTTCTGGTAAATTATTAAGGAATAAAATATAGTTCGGAGGGTAATCAGGGACCTATTAAAAAGAAAAAATGGCAAAGTTAGCTTGTAAGTATAAAAAATATTGTAAACCATTTGGCTCTTACATAAAATCTAAACTCAAGAGAGCTACACTGCATAGTTTATTAGGGATTATGAAACCTTACTGCTGGCATCAAACATTATAGCTGAAAACCAAGACTAGAGGAATATAAACCTAACCGTAACTAAGCAAACATCCAAATCACTTAACACAAATTTGGCAAACCCTAAATCTTGTCAGTTTTAAGTATTTAAAAATATTTATACCAGTATTTAAATTTTGTCAAAATGAAGGATTCTGCCATCTGGGTTACATAATTGACAGATCCTAACAAAACTAGAGAAGGCGGCAATATCACACTCCTTCAGCTTGTTACCCAAGTAAGGACAGTGATATTCAATTCTCTGCATTACTGCTTACTACCTCCCAGCATTTAAGAAAACTGAGAAACACTATTTGGTGATTTCTAATGTTTGTTGCAAGTAAATGAGATATACATGTTGTATAGTTATCCACAAGTAGAAACAAGCCCTGTTATTAGATATTAAACTATTTGATACCCCATCCTCAGGTAATATGGATCTATAGGAAGATCATCCTGTATATAAGAACAAGCTTCCCTCTCAAGGAACAAGCTAATTTTATAGGGGGAAAAAGATAAAGTGTAAAGAATAATAAGTGAACAAATTAAGGCTTAGAGAATTCAGTGCTAGCATTTGTAAATTAGACTATAACTGTTATAAGGGTTCAAAGAAGGAAAGGAGATAATACAAGAAAATGCAAATAACTTAAAATTAAAGCAGCAAAACCTCAGTGATATAAAGAATTCTCTAAAGATACATGGTACAGACTGACAGCTGTCAGAGGGGAGGTGGGTGGGGTGAATGGGATGTAGGAAGATGAAGAGAATACCCAAAGAACATACACACACAGCCATGGACACAGACAGCAATGTGGTGAGGGCCAAAGGGATGTGGAGGGCGGGATCTGGGGACAGATGGAACAAGGATGGGAAATGGGGGACATCTGTAATAATCAACAATAAAAACAAAATATAACTTTCAAAAACTGAATGTTGTCAGACCCAGCAACCTAGAAAACAAGAAGGAAACCATGAGTACATATTGGAGGCTTCCTCTCTGAGGCCTTTAGCAAGGAGATCTGGAGGAGTTTGTAAGGTATCAATATAAGGAGACTTAAATATATTTGTGCAGAAGAAGAAAGAGCAAAGGTAAAAAAGAAACAATTCTGTGTAAGTCTGTTAGAAAAGACGGTTTAACACTAAAGCCACCTGGAATAGAAACGAGCCCTTCACCTGGCTAGTTTCCTCAAGCCATGTGTCTGTACAGCCCTTGACTACGGAATGTTTGCTCCCAGCCCTCACAGTTCAAATCTGTCATTTTGATTCCCTCACTGATTCAACAGCCAAAGCGAGGAATACTAGTAAAGTCATCTTGGTTTTCTTCCTCCTAAAGGAGGTTAAAATATTCCGAGTGAGTTTCTACACTGAAGTGCTATATCTTTAATGTTATATCTTACAGATGGAATTATTTTTAGTTTTTGGAGACATGCAGGTTGTTGTATGTTGTTGCTATTGCTTTATATGAAGTTTTATTTGAAAGCATTACCTGAGGATTTGGCGTTGCATTTCCTTGGGTGTTAACTGAATTTGGTACTCCCTAAACAAAAGAAAGAGAAATGGATAAAATTTTCAATCCCTCTAAAAAAAAGCAGCATGTGTTTATATTTATAATCACTACATAAAAATAACATTAATTTAAACAGATTTCTTACTCCATTTAATTTTACTTTAAGAATTTACATCTTAGCTCTGAGTCAAACATTCTTGTATTTGGCTTGTCAAGTATTTTTTAAAGGTCTAACCCTAAATTTTAAATACTATGTCATGAAATTTAATTTCTATGCCTTAAAGTTAAGAAGAAATATACAAAAGAAAAAACAAGAGAATGGTTTTTCTTAGCTTTTTTTAAACAATTAGACAAAAGTCAAGCATTATACTTTGTGAAGCTGATTTCTAATCACTTTTAATCTAAAAATATTTATTTTTGGATAATTTTACTTTTATCTATTTTAATTTACATTTTGAATCTCTGAATTGTTCCAAGAAAGCAGGTTTGAGTGGAGTACTCATGATTAAAGATAATATCTACCGTTTATAGGCAGTGGAACTTGAGAAATAAGTCAATAGATATTAATATATTCTATGAATGATGAACTGTCATACAAATACAAATAAAACTGTCAAACATAAATCTGCACATGTAAAGATTTATCTTTTAATTTATTTACACATTAATATTGGAACTTTAGAACTCAACCAGTCCAGCTTCTTAAAAATTCACCTTTTAAAAACATACACATGTGCATGCATGCACCTCAAAGACATCACTATCAAAATTTAACACCAGAAAATAAAGAACTTTTGTCCATCTTACCAGACCAGGCTTCTTATTAGCAGTCAGTGCTGTCTGTTCCATAGTTTTAGCTTTCTTCTTTTCTTTTTTCTTTTCTTTGTCAGCAAAGGTGCCACGCATTTTAGATATTATATCTGAATCTGTTTTTGCATACTGGATTCGCTGTTTTAATAAACAAGTTACTTTTCATTATGCTCAAGATTGTTTATACTAGTCATTAGCATTTCAAATTTCATTATCCAAATATACTACAAGATAGTTTTAAACCCATCCATAAGGAAATCTGTCAAATGTACTGAGTGCCAAATAAAAATAAGTTGTGGCCTATGGTTAACAACTTATACAAAGTTAGATTCAACTGTGCTTATTAGAAAAAAAAACACACAGATTTTCATATTAGAAAAACATGACTGTGAATCAGCTGTACCACTGACTCTCTCTATTTAATAAAAGAATAGAGAGAACTGCATTAGAATAGAGAAAGTTTCCTATCCTTTAGCAGGGTTAGTGGAAGGGTCAATATGTGTCAGTTAGCTGTGAAATGTGCCATTTGTTACTTCCAAAGTTAAAGCATCAAAAATCGGGAACGACTTTCTTCTCAATCTGCTCTATTATTCTTTTTTTTTTTTTTTAAATTATTATTTATTTATTTATTCTTAAATAATAGTTCCATCAACTTGAACTTAAAATGCTTTGAAAGGAAACCAAAGGGTGGCATCACAATTTGTGCAACCAGGCCACTGGCTCATTCTTACTAGGCCACAGCCAGCAGGAGCAGTGCGCACAAGGAAGACAACAGGCCAGCGTTGAAAAACATCGCTCTAGGACAGCATTTCATTCCAATTACCGGAAGAGTAATTGTGCAGTAAAGTGCAGATTCCAATGCAGTAGGTGTGGGTAATACTGCTGGCATGGGTGCCACACTTTTGAGTAGTTTTTAGGCCCTGGCCTAAAGCATTATCACAGAGCTAGCGTCAATACAATTAACTCTCCAGAAACGTTTGCTACGAGTTAAACTGTTACCTACAGTGTACAAAACAGCAACCTGGGCTTCAAGGAAACATTTCTTCCCTGGAGCCATAAGAGCTGAAACTCTATCTCTGAACATATCAAAGCACAACAATCAAAACACACAAGAGCCCTAGATGGCTCAGTTGGTTGAAGCTTCCTCCTACACAAGTGGTCGGCAAACTCATTAATCAACAGTACAACGATTGAAATTTCTTTTGAGAGCTGAAAACCGACTTCTGTGCATGGGCCACAAACTTTCAATCGCACTGCATGTGCACCCCTGAAGGAAAAACTGCCCCTTCATATCAATGTAACTTTAGATCTAACCTAAAACCCAGTCTATGCTCCTGCCAACTGAGGTCTCAATTATGCTAGCCCTTCATATTACTAGATAAGCTAGTTTCAGAAAGGGCCAATTTACTGAAAACTAGGATATATAGACACAATCTGTTTTCACAGATGGGCTTTTCCACACAAACTGTGCCCAACCAGGTGGGAAGTGATGGGAAAAGGGAAGTTGAATAGAGGATGAGAAGAAAATTTGCTCTAGTAATAGACAAAAGTCTCATTTTTCAATTAAACATTGTGGCATAGATATACAAACTACTGAGCACAGCCAACACTGCCTGGTTTTGTAAATTAGGTCTTCAGGGAACAAACTCACACCCATTCATATGCATCCATCTAGGGCTACTTTTCCTGCTATAAAGACAGGTAAGTAGTTGCAACAGAGATCAGCTGGCTTATAAAACCTAAAAAACATATCTACCACCTGACCCTTTACTGCTAATAGGCTGATTCCTAGTTCAGGAAAAGAACAATCTCAATACCGAGGGTCAGGAGATTAGCTTTCAAGACCTGTGCCGTCACCTAGATAAGCAACTAACCTTTCTGTGCCAGATGGTAAAATAAAATAAAGGGGTTAGGTCAGTGGTCTGCACTACAGATTGCGGGTCTACTCCAGTCCTTGGCCTGTTTTTGTACGGCCTATAAATAAAGGAGTTTAAGAAAACTGTGTGTGGCCCACAAAGCCTAAAGTATTTATTACCTGGTTATTTATAGACTTTTTGCTGAACTCTGAATTAAACCAAACAAATATCCAAACTGCTTACATTTTACTGGTGGTGAAACTGAAAACAGGCACAAAACTAGTTAGTGGCAGAACCAGAATGAGGACCAGGGTCCTTTAAATGCTGGGCCTTCCCATCACAGTTCAGTTCCAAAAGAAAATCACTTTGAAATCCAGGTACTGTGTACTCACTCACACAAGTGGAACCCCTGCTTTACACTCTGTCTCCTCCTGATTCAATCCTCTATCATCTCTGACTTTCACACCAAGAGTCTCATTGAGTTCACTACTTTCCTTCTGGCCTTCCTACAATCCAATCTTTATCCAGCAGCTATATGAATCTCCTCATGTCACTGCTAAGCTCAAAGTTTTCCATGCATAAGTACTTTATTTTCATTTATTAATAAAACCTATTAATTTAAGTCTGAGTTTTCCTTAGATTATTGCTTTACCTAGTCTGCATAGCTTTGGATATGTAGTATTTTACTATGGCATTTCTTGAAACTTTCTAAATCTAACAGATTAGATTTCCTCTTTGACCCATGGTTTTTATAAATTTATATATATAGGTTCCATTTTAATCTTCTAATTTATTATTAATTTATAATTATTTTGAAATAAGAATGTTGCCTGTACTGACTGCCATTATTTTTAAAAATGTTCTGCATCTCAAGCTATTTTGTTTTTGTCCATATGAACTGTCATAAATTAAGAAGTAAATGAAAACTCTAACACTGTTTCTATAAAGATAAATAAAACAAATCCAAACTCCCTCTAACACACAGTTAAAAGCAAAAAGCATAACTATTATTTCAAGTGTATATTTATATATCTACTATACCATAAGTAGAGATTAAAGCCAAAATACTGAAATCAACTTACCATTGGTTTACCATAAAATGGAAATCCTTGTAACTGTCTCAAAGCATTTGTGGATGAGCCCAATTCTTTAAATATAACAAAGGCTTGCCCCCTCATCTTCATGGTCTTTAAAGCTACAATATCTACAACATGGCCAAACTGAGAAAACAGGGCATACAGGGATCTCTTCAATTCTGTGTAAAATAAAAGGGGAAACAACTTATTTGTGAACGAAACAATGACAAAGTTCTTCATAAAACGACACCTACTGCTTCTCGACCATTCATGTATTCATTTATGCAGTTATACATTTAACAACATCAGACTATTTAGCTCTCTGATTTAAGAAGTTATTTGAAATCATTTTATCTATGAGTGAAAACAGATTCAACACATTTTCCAGCCCTTACCTATTTTTATTTTTAAGCCTTAAAAGCCTTACCCAAATAGGGATAAACTAAAATCCTGGGCACTGAGCAAGATAACTAAATGAGAAGTTTTGAAGCAGTACAATTTTTAAGACAGCAGTAATTAAGCACATTTTGGCTATGAACAAATCTTTTTAAAGCATACTCACCTTCTTTTTTAATTTTGTCATTCATATTGTTGATATAAATTGTATGGTTTGGTCTGATATCCATCTTTTGGGTTAAACTGTCCAAACAGCCTGAAGAGACAGAAAATATTCTGTTATAAACAGGGAAGACTTAACTCATACTCTTGGTGTGACATTAGGACACAAGTGTTACTAACTTTTCAGGTCTCTTTCATTCCCTGATGCCAGAAAATATCAGCTTGGCAGCAGTCTTTAAAGCTCTCCAACTCTTGCTAGCTCTTTTTTTTTTTTAAACAAAAGAATAATGCTTGATGGAGCACTGACTAGTACCTAGGAAGGTTTTTTAACAATATTTTACTCAATAAATTTATTTTCATACTTATCCACTTTTAACCAAGTGATAATATTTTTCCATTTGCCTAATAAAACTTTTCTTTTTAAAATTATTTAAGAGGGGAGGCCTCGCCGGACCGGAGCGGCGCGGCAGCCTCCCTTCCTCCCCCGCCCGCTGGCCCGGCCTTCCGCGGACCCAGGGCCCGTGCCTCCAGCCCCACGGCACCGCCCGGTCCACTCACAGCTCCCACAAGGGAACGCTGGGCAGCCGGGCAACCTGCGGCCTGAAGGACCGAAACAGCGGGACAGAACACATTCAAACTCACCTGAGACCAGCCCGGCGTCCCGAAACAACCGGAAGCCGGAAGCCAGAAACCGGAAGTAACTGCACCAGGAGCCTCAATGGAGCGCCGATCAGTGGAGAAGCCGAGCACCGAATCGATCGATGCCCCGCGGCTGCACCTGGACTCTCTCTGCGCATGCGCGCCCTGCGGGCGGGGAGGAAATGTGGGTAGTGGGGAATGAAGGAGAAGCTTGTGGGAACCTTGTGGATAAACAAATCTTGGGGCCATAGAGTGAGAGGAGAGGGGAGCTCTGTGATTCATTTCCCCCACCACGACTTTACGAGGCTTTCACCCACGCAAAGGTATCGTCCATCTTTCCAAATCCTGTGCAGTTTTCCAGGTGCAGCAGCCCAGGCACACTGCAGGGGCAAGCGCCCTAGATTCGCGCTTCTCTGGGCTCTGGGTGTCCCCGGTTTAACATCACATTCAGGGCAGCCGGTACCCCCACAAATCTCCGGTTCCTGAAACTCTCCAACACTACTGATGGACTTGGATCCCAGGGACACCTCAGCTTGAGGCCCCAATGTGGAGGGAGTTAATGCCTCTGTCCAGCTCTTTCACCTTATGAAACAACCACACTTTACCAATAACCAAACACTGTAATGTAAAGTCATCACCCTAAACTCACTCAAAACTCATAAAATTTTCATCATCCTTTTCACATTCCCATTTCCCCATAAAATGCCTAGATTGTTTTAGGCCCTAATACAAGTTGCTTGTGTTTAGGCCAAGCTGAACTGGAATTCCAAAAAGGCCATCCCTTGGTCAAATATATGTAAAGCATCATCTGAAATGTTTGCTATGAGCCACGGGGAATCTAATTTTGTTATTCCCTGGAAAGCCTCAACTTTCTCATATGTAAACTAGGGATCCTAATAGTAACTTCCTTCTAGAGTTATTGTGAGGATTAAATGCACTCAATATAAAGTGACTAGACACAAAAGAAATGGTCCAAAAATGTTGTTTGTAAATGCTGGACATATGCATGAAGGGACCAAACAGATTGGTCTTATAAGATAAGGAATATTATTTTAAAATGTCGCCTAAAGTTGCAACATTTTGAAATAATGTAAGTTGTTTTTGTGTTTTTTTTTTTGGAGGGGGAAATCAAATCCTTATCAGATATTTTCCCATACAGTAGATTCCCTTTTCTCTGTGTTGATGGTTTCTTTTGCTATGCAGAAGCTTTTTAGTTTGAAATAGTGCCATTTGTTATTTTTTTCCTTTGTTTCCCTTGCACTAGGTGATATATTGGTGAAAATACTGCTATATGACATGCCTGAGATTTTATGTTCTCTTCTAGGATTTTTATGGTTTCACAATTTACGTTTAAATCTTTTATCCATTTTGATGCATAAAAGATTATCCATCAAAATTCTTTGTATGGTGTAAGTTGGTGGTCTATTTTCATTTTTTTTTTTAAATGGTGGGACTTTGCAAAGACATTCTACCTGGAAAGAAAAAAAATACAGTACCTGTCCAATTTTCCCAGTACCATTTATCAAAGAGACTGTCTTCACTCTATTGTATGCTCTTACCTCCTTTGTCAAATATTAATTGGACATATTTGTGTAGGTTGATTTCTGGGACCTCTCTTCTGTTCCATTGGTCTATATGCCCTTTCTTCTGCCAGTACCACTTTTTTAGAATAATGGCCTTGTAGTATAGTTTGACATCTGATATTGTCATACCTCTAACTCTTTTCTTTCTTAATATACACCTCAACACCAGTAAGACAATCAATCCAGTTAAAAAATGTGCAAAGGACCAGAATAGACACTTCTTCAAAGAGGACATACAAATGGCCAATAGACACATGAAAAAATGCTCAAAGTTACTAATCATCAGAGAGATGCAAATTAAAACTACAATGAGGTATCACCTCATACCTATCAGAATGGCTGCCATCAATAAATCAAAAAACAACAAGAGCTGGCAAGCATGTGGAGAAAAAGAAACCCTAGTACTGCTGGTAGGAATGTAGACTGATACAGCCACTGTGGAAAACAGTATGGAGGTTCCTAAAAATAATAATAATAATAATAATAATGCCATTTAACCCAGAGATTCTACTTATGGGCATATATCCTAAGAATCCTGAAACTTTAATCAGAAAACATAAATGCACCCCTATGTTCATGGTAGGGTTATTTACAATAGCAAATACTAGGATTCTTGTCCCAGCATTAAGAAGGATTCAGCAATCTGGAGAAAGGCTGTGTATCGATTAAATAAGAGTCCAAAGATGAGAGATAATTTTTAAAGGCATTGGATGTCAGAGGTGCTTCAGCTAAAGGATTTAAAGATCCAACTTCTTATTTCTTAGTTCTTCATTCTCCTTGTCTCAGGATCCCTGCTTTTTATTAACACAAATTTGTCCTAAGGCAAAGTGGAGATAATACACTTCAAAGGGTAGGGTACAGAAGCATTGTCAGATTAGGGAATAGCCTACAGCTGTCCAGGTGTTTGACCAATAGGAAGCAATAACATGTAGATTAAGATGCCCTGAGCTGTCTGGCAACAAACAATCATCCTATTCAAGTTGGGGGAAGTGTCTTGTCAGCAGTTCCAACAGGTGATTACATGTGTGACTCAGCCCTTGTTGAGTCTCCAAGCTTCATCAAATTTTTGATAAAACTCTTATGACATGCTGGAATTGGTTTCCAGAAAGCTAAGATCTGGAAACAGTTCAACTGCCTATTTTGTTTGGTAGATGAAGGTATAAAAAAGCAGTGGGACATTTACACACGGCATACCATGCAGCCATGAAAAAGGACGGTCTCTTGCTCTTTGAGACAGCATGGATGACCCTGGAAATTATTTTGCTAAGCGAAAAAAGCCAGTTAAAGAAAGACAAATATCACACGATCTCACTTATAAATGGACTCTAAAGAACAAAATAAACTGACAAACAAAATAGGTCCAGAGGTATAAATGCACAGAATAGAATAATAGACCTTGAGGAGAGGTGTTTAGAGGGTGGGAACAGAAAAAGATTAACCAAAGAACATATGCATAACCTTTGGATACAGACAATAGCATGGGGAAGGCCTGGGGTAGGGGAGGGGGGGGGGTTGGGTGTAGAAAATGGGAGACATTTGTAATACTGACAACAATAAAATAAAATTAATAAAAGCCAAAAACAAACAGAGGATAAGATGGGACTTTGCAAGGATATTCCACCTGGAAAGAAGCACACACACACACACACACACACACACACACACACACACACACACACACAGGAAACACAGAGACTTAAAATCAGACTACACATTGGGTTCTCTTAACCACCAAAAAATGGCTACTATTCATTACACTGTGAGAAGAAACCCATCTAATAGCCAACTCAGTGGCAATGATCTACATGCTATTCCCCAGGTTTTTCTAAACAGAACCAGTGCACCTTTCTGTCCCTGGGCAATTGGTCTGGGCTTTCCAATGGCTTGTTAGTCCTCGGTGGTTTCTTAAATGGTTTTGAGAAGCCTGTAATTGAAAGCAGGACTGAGAAAGGAATGAAGAGGGGAGAGGAGCTCTTCTGTCCTTGTGAGATGCCGTGAATGCCCTGGTTATGTAACTATGTTAAGAGCATTAAAATATCTAAACTTTGGTCAGATGAGCTGAAAAACGACCATCATTCCTTTATAATTAAATTCACCTCTTGAAGGTCAGATCAAGAATCAGATATTTTCAAAACTCACCTGTTTTTAAACAGAAGAGAAAAACAAATGGATTTGCTTAGGAGTTCTGCTCAGTCCAGTCTCTCATATTTTAGTTGGGCAACATGATTTACTTTCCTGTAAAACAGTTTTGTTTTTTTATGGCACTAAACCCAGAAGCAGCACTAAAACACTCTAGACTACTGTTACCTATCTATTGATGATGAAACTCACTTATTTTTGGATGTAGCAGCAAAATTACTACAAACAGTTGGGAATAAAACTGTGTTAAGACATCTAAATTATCGTGTAAGCATGATAAACGAGGCAGCTCGTAGTGGCTACGAATCCACATATATTTTCCTACCTTATCTGCACGTGTTTTATGTTTCTCATTAAATGTTTTCAGTATCTAGCTGCAGTATTTTTGAGACCAGGCTGGGTTTAAAGGAAAATGCATCATAAAACTGTGGCGGATAAATGTTGGCCCATTTATGTTAGAGAGAGCCACAGAATGTATGACAATTTGTTTCTATTTTCTTTCTCTCTCCAGGTGGTGATTTCATTAAGAAATTTATGTAGAGTAAAATTATTTCACAGCCATCATTAAACAAATCTGGGCATTATTGTTGAGCACCATATAATGTTTACCTTTTCCTAGTTGGTTGGGATTATATTGGCTGAAACTTACTAAGAATCACCCCCACCCCTGAAATTCATGGAGGAAATAACTTTGTGCAATTATTTTC